CAAAAAAACCTACTTTATTTGTTTCAAGGTGGATATTTGGAGATGCTGGGTGACTTCTTGCCATAAAGAACTTGACAGGCAAAGAGGTGGGGGGCATTCACTGTGATATTATTGGCTATAAGACCATGTAAGTCATGCATGAAACTAGAGGAACTCACAAACCAGTAGAACTGTCACAGCTGCAGGCCCTTTGAGTGAATGGAAAACAATCATAGAAATATACATTTTTAAAGACTTTAAAAAATTGGGAATTTATAATATGATCCTTCAGGTATTGATACTTACTCAAACATGAGAGGCGAGGAAGAGAAAAATGGAAAGCTGTCACACATTTAAAGAAGAAAATTAAAATTAACTATTGGAAACTGCATCTGCAGGGAGCAAAAAATAAAATGCAAATCTGCAATTAAGTTCCATCCAAAGTGTTAATGCAATGAGAATCAATCCAATTAGCAGTTTTAATAAATTCCACAGAAGAGTGAATACAGCAATGCTCCATTAAAGGTTGTTTAGTTTATTTAATGTATTCTGTTGGGACTGTATGTGACAGGCTGACACAAATAGCTGCTAAGGTGGGAAGTCAAACAATAATTATACTTAAGAAAATACAAAAAGATTTTTTTTAAAAAAGGAAAAAAATGTTCCATAACATTGCAGCATGGTTATGTTTTTTTCCAGTATCATCCTGCATTTAGTTCCTTCCAGCTTCCCATCAAGCCTGATCTGCTCTACCTTGCTGAAGAAAAGCATATCCCCATATCATAATGCTGCCATCACCATGTGACACTGATGATGGTTAATTCAGAGTGAAGTTGGAAATTTCACTCTGAATGAACCATTAAAGAAAAATCAAACATTCAAAAAAAAAAAACGCACTGAGATTTTAGGTTGTAGCGTTCAAAGGCCAAAAATAAAAATAAAAAATTTGAAAGGCACTATAAATGCAAACAAATCCTAGTTGAAAGTCCTTCATTCTGATTTCATTAAGTCCTTGAAAAAAGGGCAAATTAAAGATTTACTAGAATCTATTTTTTTATTGTTAATTTGACATGCATTAACCAGTAAAGGTTTTACTATAAGACACACCAATATACTTGTTCTAATTGTGAGAAAAGAAACGCAAAAGAAAAGGCTTCAGTATCTTTTTTACAGTATTTTTAGCTTTACCAAAAAGTTTCAAATAAAGTTTGATTCTCATCCTTCCATCTTTTGTTGCATGTTTTTCTCCCTTTGCCAACGTCCATCAACTGGTACCAAATATACTGATATAAATAAAAACAGAGCTAAAAAAAAATCACATATCAAACTTGCTTCAAAAACACAATGTAAATGTAAAGGACATTAGAGAATAACTAATAAACTAGAGTTTTAAGCTGACCATCTTCTGCTACCTTGAGCTAAACAGATCCAAAGAAGTATTGAATGAAAAAGATAAAAGGAAAGTTTGCAAGATAAGAATTTGTTCTTTTATTTAATTACTGTACCATTAGAGGTTTCAGATTATAGAGAAATTTAATTTCTCTCCTCTGTCCTCCTAGTTTGTGCCCAGACCTGATTGAACATACTGTTCTATTCTGATGTCCAGTAAACTTTCCCCGTATTCAGCACCACCAGGAGTTACCATCACCTACAGCCAATCAAGGAACATTTATCTGTGCTTAGTTTAGATGTTCTTACAGCCCAGCTGCAGCTCCACACCTGTGCACAGTGGAAATTATGCAGAGGAGCTGTTGGAAAACACAGAACAGAGGAAACAAGCTGCAGGTGGTAATTTGGATTTTATAGAGCTGTTTGCCAAATTTATTAACAGGCATCAATTATTTCTACAAACTCCACATGTTGACAATTTTAACCCCATCCCTCTGGGTTTTCTCAATTTGTCTCTTACTGTCTGACTCTTCCTTTGCCATCTCATTGTTCTACAGGATTGACTTTTATTTCTGGTTTGACATACATGACAATGCCAGCCACCCTCTGCACACTGTCTGATCAGTGGGAGATTGCTTCTCCCCAAATGTAAAACCAACAGAGTGCTGAACTTCTTTGTTCCTCAAGCCATCAAGCTGTACAACTTCTCACTTGGAGGAAGGAGGAGGTGATAGGAATAGGGACAAGGGTCAGCACCCCACTCCTTTGACATCTTGTGCAAAACATTACCTATTGTCACTCATGTGCAATATTCTTCTCTCTCACTGTGCACTAAAATATTCCAACTACTGTGTAGCCTGTGTATTTTTTTATTTATTTATCAGTACATTTATGCAGTGAAAGTACAATAATCCAAGCCAACTACTGTGCAGTCTTTCCTTAGCCCTCCACCATACAGATATATTTATATCTAAAGGAAACATATTCCATGACATAAAAATTACAACTTTTTTATATTGTCTGCTGTCTTTGTATCTTTAATGGCATCTTGCTTTAAGTGTTTACACTCCATATAAGCTACTGGAACCAGAATTACTCTGAAGCAGTGATCCCAAGGGATAAATAAAGTTGAGTCTTTGACAGAGCAGCCTCTCCTTTGGACAACCTTCTTTCTCACTTTGTTAAATAGAAGAATTATGGGAAAGAACCATTATAAGTTTTGCAGTTAACAGCAGTCTTGTAAAGTAACCAGACTCTGCATTAAAAATTTCAATTTTCCATTCTCTTATTAAAATGCACAGCCTTCATAAAATGACCTCCATCCTCTCTCACCAATTTAATTGATATTATTGTTTTTAATGGCATTAATTAAAATCAGATTCTCTTTTTAAAAAAATGTTTTTGTGGATAATTTTCATGCCTCAGGTTGATTCCAGCAAGAAATCCAAAAGGGTGACTTAACTTGACTTTCCACAGCTAATGATAGAAGTCTGACATACGAGTGTGTGTTCTGTCTTAGCTGGGATTTACATTGACACCCTAAACACTCCTAATCTTACCTTTAGTGCCATTGGCTTCGTTTTGAATCCATATTTTCCCCAACTTCAAAAATAACATATAAATCTGGTTATGATTGTGGTTTCCAGGAGAGCCCATTTGGTCCTCTCATGTTTTATATGAGGTTTTAAATTGGATTTGATTTTAAAATGAAAACTTAATACTTTCAGCGTCTTACTTTGTTTACTGGAGACGGAATGAAGAAAACCCTCCAGCTCTGCTTTAGGAAGAAATGTGGGTAATTTCAAATTGACCAAGGCTGAGATCCACAGACAGATCCTTCCAACGTAATGGATCTGTTAGTATGAGGCTGGAGGGGGTTTCTTTCATTATGAGTTTCACTGCGTCTTAGTAAACAAAGACATGAATTGAATTTTCAGGGAGTAATCAGTTTTCCTTTTGTTATCATCTTCACAAATCTGGCAAATATGGAAGAGTGGCCAAAAAAATTGCGAGGTTTAATTTAGAAGAAACTTATAAGAAGCCCAGTTTTGAGTTTAACACAGCATGTAGGTGGAAAAGTACACATGGTTAAAGGTACAGGTTAAGCACTACGCACCATGGCTCAAAGTCCAGATTTAGATCTACATAAGGATTCTTGGAAATTACTTTTCACAGCTTCTGTCTTTTTAATTTGGCTGAATGAGCAGAAAATGTGGTCAGTAGAGATAAACATAAACAAGTACCATCCTGTCGCTCTAATTCCAGTGAAGCACTTTGAGTGGATCCTCCTACAGTACTTCAAGAACACCATCCAGGCTGACTATTTGAGCCAATGTAACAAGTTCATTTTTGCACTGTGAGATCAATAAAGTCAATCAATCACCCATCCGCTTCCCATAGGCCCCATGTGGTGAGAATAGGGAAACTTACATCTAACCCCCTCATCCTGAAGACTGGAACCCCACAGGGGTGAATTCTCACCTCTGCCCTCTTCACTATCTGACATAGTGGTGCGCCAGGATCATATGCTGAACACTAGCAATACCAAGGAGGTCATAGTGAGCCATAAGAGGTCTAGAAAGACTGAACAAACTTTCAACAGTTTTAAATTTTAAATATATTTTAAAAAAATGCCTTCTCTTCCAATATTTCACTAATAATGTGTTTTCTATTGTATGTTTTTCTTCAAAAGTTTGGTTTAGTTACTCCAAGGATTCTTTATTTCCTCAGTGTCTTATTTCTTTTTATGCACGACTTGTACATTCATTGACTTGGTTGTCTCAAACTTTAATGGCAATAAAGATTCTTGATTTAAAAGCAGGAATTGGAGAAAAGGATTCTTCTACAGCGTGTTCACTTGTAGGGGGCAAACATTATGGATTTTTACATGTAAAACATGCTTTCTATTACTTCCTCTCCAATCCACAAACAGTCAGTACTTTGTTTTGGTCCATTTATAAACCCCAATAAACAGAGTTATAGATTTCAATGTAAAAAAATATATATATTTTAGTTCTGCAACCATGTAAAATGTTTCTAGTTTGATTTATGAAGCATTTAACCACTGTCATTTAATAAATCGTTATAATTATTTGCAAAATTAAGTATAAGCCAAGTGCAAGGAATAAAAAAAGTCATATTGTCTTGTAGTTTTTTTTTGTAGACAGGAAACTGGAAATTTGGATTTCCAATATTATCCCCTCCCCGCAGCTACTTATGTGATTTTGCCCTAAATACTGTACTTGAGATGGATTATTTTTTAAACCCTGGTGCTGATTCTAAGTGGGAAGATATAAAATGGTAATCTTTGTCTTAAATCTATGGGGGGAGTCCACTGCTATCCTTTCTCTCCCATTTTAAAGGTCACATTCAGCACTGAGATCTGCACAGCTTTTGTCACATTTATCTGCTATTGATGGCACTTCATCAGCATCTTTTCCTATTGACATAGACTTGTCCTTTAGCAATTCTGAGGACTTGTGTATTTTCTTTTAATCTGGATTCTACCCCTACCATCTTATACTTCAGCCATGGTGAAAATGCAATGAATTCTCTGAGGTAGGGCATTTTATATAATATTTTTCATTAGATTGTCAGGAAACAAACACAAGAGACTAGAATCAGAGGCCCTGTTGTGATACAGAAAATGAGTTTATTCTCATGTTAATGTCTCAACATACAAATAACATTCTTTTAATAAAAGAAATGAGTTTAATCAGTACCTGGCATCTAGACCTTTCCGCTCTAAATACACAACCGTCTCATGTTGAGTCTCGCTCTGAAGTTGGTTTACCCTAACTAATAAGAAAAATAGTAACATTACAATTTGCTTCTTTTTTACTGTAGCCCAATAGTCACACTCATGGACAAATTTGCATTACAAAAATGTGCAAGAACAGATCCCTTTTCAATAACTCAAATAAGAAGTGATCTTTGAAAAAAATTCAATGATTTTTATATATATATATATATATATATGTTAAAAAGGCAGTCAATGAAATGTAAGGAACTGATGTGAAACAAAAACATGAAAAGTTGCATTAGCAATTACAGTACCTATCTGTAGTATGCCTGAAACCTAAGAACAGTTACATGTTTAGGGTTCACAGATTAACAAGTGCAAAAAGGAAACATATGATATAATATAAGGATAAAGGTGTTTCAGTGGATTTTGGCACAATAAGATGCAGGATATAGCTTTAATGAAGAGTGAATATTTTAGGGTTTACTTTTTGCATTCTGAATTTAAAAAACTATCAAACAACAGTTAAAAGTCACTTACATTTAATGATATTTGAGGAAAAAAATCCCTAAAGATATTACCCTGCAAACTATGCTTCTTAGCGTGTCTTTAAATTGAATAGGGTGACTGACAACCAACCACAAGGACTAAATAAAAACATGCTAAAAACCTGTTGAGACATAATGCAAAAGGCTCAAAGGAGTGTTACCAAGTGACAATACATTTAATATAGTTATATATGTTATCTTACCAGATCTGTCTGCATATATATGTGGCATAAGCTTTATTCATAAATACATGTTAAAGGAGCGGAACAATAGTTACACAGTGGTTAGTCTTAACCTGGAGTGCATTCTGAGGAGTTAAACTGTTTCTTCAAAGCCTTACCGTTGTTTCTCACTCCAAACTGTGCTGGTTTCAAATCAGCCCCTTAATCGTCTAGCTTAAGGTGGACTATTAAAACAAAAAAAAACAAAAAAAAAAACAAGCAAACCTAAAACTCGTCATTATTAGTGTTAAATGATCCTGGGTTGGTTTAAAATGAATATTCGTTTGTAAAGGCACTTCTGAAAGGCCTACTAACTGTCCACGCACCCAGCTGCTATGGGAACTATGCATAGAGCGAAACATGAGACTCGTGGCAGGCTACTTCATTAAACCCACAGCTACACATGTTAAAGAGGTTGAATGTATTTGCACTTTTAAAGAAATGTAATGATTGATTTCAATGCTGGTATTACGTTTCCAAAGCACTGAATTTCTGCTACAAACCATTTGCAGAAACTGGTTTAATCATAAAGCTGTGTTCTCACTTTTCAACCCTTACGTGCACAAATAATAATAATAATAATTAAAAAAAAACGTACGTACATTAAAATAACTTATAATTAGTTGTCAGTCATCATCAAATGGGTGCATAATTGTAGGGACACCACAAATGTCAGGAGCGGCAGAACTTCATTAGTGTTGAGGTTTATGGTCAAGGGACACTCATTACTGAACATCAATATTCAGACTAATCTGGGGACTGTAAACGGACACATACAATGCAGCATAACGACACACACCGACAGAAATCCTCAGGGAAGACTGACTGAACCAGAACGTTTATAAGCAATGCTACCAACCTGCTTCAGAGTAACATCAGAGATAAAGGAGACCGATTATAAAACATAAGAAAGACAAAATTAAAAAAAATATATCAATAATTTACACAACTAGCTCATGGTAGTGTACCTATTGGTGTGGAAGAGTTAATTAGTGTTTAGGGAATGAGAGCAGAGCCTCGACTCGCTGTAGTGGCGGCCGGTCTCCTCTAGGGGGAGCCAAGTGGAGTCCACAGGACTTTACTTTGTTCTTGATCAACTATAGTGGTGATCTGAGTGCAAATGTATGGGAGGTTTCCACCTTGGACAATACCTAAAAAAAGAATAAAAGTAGTTTTTTAAAGCCCACAGATTAGGTAAAAAAAAAAGTGGGGAGATTTGAGTTGCGTGTTATTATTTGAATGACGGCACACCAACCTGTGAAAAATTTGCTGTATTCTTGTTCTATCTTCTGCGCGCTTTCAAATTGCTCCTTGGAATGTTTTTGAGATACTTTATCTCTCAGGAAAATGGGATCCTTCTGTTCCCTGAAAGGAAAATATAAAACAGGAGATATTGATATAAAGAGCTTCATGTGTGAAATTACAACAATAGAACAACAGGTGGATGATAAAGTGGTTTTACGGTTAAAATATCTAGTTGGTAAAATAAGTAGAAAACTAAAATTGACTGTCAAGGTAATAAAATATATATTTTCTATTGTTCACACCTAAATTTAAAGACTTATGTATCAAATGTTTATCCATTTTGCACAACTTTGTGTTGGTCTAAAACACAGAGACTTAATAAAATAAACTCCAGTTTGAGATGTTCATGATGCTTTGACAAACCAGACCTTTTCTGTTCTCTTATAGCATCTATATTTTTATTTACAATCATGCTACTTTATCATATTAGTTGAACAGAGCAGACAGGAAGTCCCCACCTTCATTACTTGAGACTTACTTAATCTGCTTGGCGTTTTTGTAGCGGATGAAGACAACAATAGGATAGATGTGAACACTGTGGAGCCTTTCGATGGCATGCGGGGCGATGTCAAGCAAACAATGACAGCCCTGTAATTTTACAATGAAGAGCAGTAGATGTTACCAGCAGGAATTCACATTTCCAAGCATCCAAGGCTGATAAGCAGTAATCTTGATTATTATTTTCGTAAAAACAGAGTTTAAGGGTGAATAGAAGCAACTTAGTTTTTTCTAACATATTATCAGAGAATGAAGGCGGTGATTGATACCTTATCTGTTATTTCCTTTATAGAAGCAACAGTGGTGACATCAAAATGTCCACTCCTGCGCTTGTAGTCAATGAAGAGGCAATCTTTGACGCCACGCTCGATGGCTTGCTGGGAGGCCTTCATCACCTCTGCAGACGGGCAAAAAAGTAAAAAAAACACTTTATATAATGCTAGATAGATTTCCCCTGAATACTAATCAACTTGGTGAAAATTGCCCAGTTCTCTGCAGCATGTGAGCAGATCTCACCCAGCAGGCATCTGCAGAACTTCCCAGGGGATTCTTTGACCAGCATCTCCTTGACTGGGTCACTGAGAGGCCCGAGTACGAGTACCGGTCGGGGAGAGGTGCACTCTACCTTCTGGACCCGCTGGTATGCGAGGCTTACACAGTCTGTAAAACGATAAATAAAGCGGAGGTAAAATTGTCGTTCATCCTGCTGTATTTTAACTATAATACAATTTCTCTGTCCTTACCATCCAAGAAGGGGATGGAGTCGGTGCTAATGGTGTCCAGAGGCACCATCTCTTTACTGTCTTTGGAGCTGCTGCGTTTGTGTTTCTGTTTCCTCCTGAAAAAGGATCGGCGGGCGGCAGCAGAGATGGTCTTACTTGAATCTTCCTTCATTTCTGTCACACTGTGTCTGCGATAAAACTCTTGGTCTATCCTATATCACACACACACATACACAAAACATGTTAGTTAAAGGTTGTGTGCTGCAGCAGCATGGCTTAGAGAGATTCTACTGGGTGTTTGGAGTGACTAGATTTGCAGTGAGAACAAAAAATCTGATTTTATGATCAGAACTAAAAATACAATCATTTTTCTAAAAGGTAAATGCACCAAAGCCACCATTGAGGGAAGAAGCCTAGTAAAATCAGAATTAAATTCAGAATAAAAGCCAACTCTCTGCTTTTTCCACCCACATGTATTTGCTGGGGATCTGTCCTCTCTGGATCTGCTGTGCGTTCTCATCTAGCTGCCAGGCCATCCAGGTTCCAAAGCTGCCCTTTGGTAACGACTCATCCACATACAGGATGTCATCCTTCTTGAAACTGAGGTCTCCTTCTGCCTCCCCCACCCTGTCGTAAAGTGCTCTGTTGGGAGGCCAAGACAAGGATAGATAGGGAGTTATTAAGGTAAGGGCGGTACGAGGGCAAGACGAGAAGCGTGACGCTGATAAAAATGGGAGAGAGGATGAGGTATGAGGAGAGTAAGATTAAGAATCTACAAAGCAGAAGAAAAGTGACAAAGGAAGCACAAAGCACTGTTATCTATGGACAAAAACGGCCTGCACTGTGTCTTGCTGGAAGCTCCTTGGTTATTCCCAAGCAGCCTATCTGTGTCAGGCAAGCAAGCGGAGTGTATTTACTGCAGATGACATCACAAACCTGCCTGCCTATATGACAAGTGGCTGTGGCAGCTGGGGCAACACACCGAGAATAAAAGCCAACTAAGTCAGAGCTTCATTGTCCTTTAGTATGCAGCGTGATTGCAAGGACCAAAGAAAACAGTCCGAACATAAAGGACCAGATTAGCCTATATGGTGGCGAATTAGAATCGCTGCATTGACACCATAGATCTGGGACATAAATGGCTGGGGAGGAAAGGGACAAACTGTCCGAAGGGCTCTCAGGTCTATAGATAGCATAACGGAAAGCAATGAAGCTGCTGGTGACATAATTGAGTTCATTTTCTGTGCACTATTCCAAAAAACAGACAAAGTCTGACCACCTTAAAAACTGTTTTTCTTATTTTTTGAGTGAATGCAAAATATCTTCAATTTAGAAAGTGAAATTGAAATGTAAAGTTGATTAGTAACATGTTATTACACTTGTTTTTGTTTTTCAAGCATTTATTTCTTATTTTTGGATTCTGATATTGGAAATGACAGGGCTTCTTTATGGCCCTAATAATTATAATAATCATCATATAAAGTTGTCCAGCAATCAGTCATTAATAAAGTCTGCAAAAGGAGTGTGAGGTCAGAACTAACGTAAAGAGTTAATCTTGCAGCGTTACCACGATCAATGACTCAAACAAGAAGTGAATTCTGCACCTCTTCGCTCTACCTAAACACTCAAAAGAACCTTTTCTTTTTTAAATGTAAAACATACTTTTAACAGAAAAGAGGACTTTGGCTCACTGAGCAACAGTGCACATATTTATTCACATTAACCCATTATATACACCTCTAAAGTTTTCTCTGCCTTTAGACCCGTGTTTCCTTTCAATCCACATTCCACTTATCTAACTTTAAAGATCCCTCCATGTAGAATGTGTATAACTACCAGACACAAGTTAAGGAAACTGTTTTTCTTCTCTATGTGTCAATAAGCATATACACATGACATCATTAAATACATATTTATGAATATCATTTAAAAAAACCTTCCAGCATATGTTAATAGTGAGATGCTCCTTTATACACACCTAATATAAAAACCATCTCCTGGTACATCTTTGACTGAGCTGAAATCATCCGGCTGATGCTGCACCTTTAATGTAACCGTCTCCGCTGGTTTTAGCATCTCCACGTACACCTCTTCTGC